GCCGGGCCACCGGAGGGAAGCGGGTGTGGCCCGGGCCGTCCAGCCGGCGGGGGCTGGGACCAACCTGGGAGGGAGGAGGCGAGGCAGGAAGGTTGTTCTGCCCGGCTGAGGGCTCCCAGCGTTTGTGAGGCCGACAGTCGCTCCGCAGGACTCTAAAGGGCAGACCTTTCTCCAGAGCTGACCCAGCTAGCCGAGTGGTTTGCTGGATTTTCCTATTGGCTGCCTTATTTGAATGGTCGTGGATTAGGTGCTTGTGGTTGCTCTTTCTAAGGCATTCGGTTGAACTTCGACATTTCAGTATTGATAAGAACGTCTTAAAAGTAGGGTTTGTGTAGCGGACTGCTTTGGTGGCAGTTACCGAGGTGACCACCTATTGACGGGTTGACCTGCGGTAATTGCGGTGGCTTCCTGCCAACACCCACTGTAGAAACGTCTTTCCTCTTAGGCTAGCTTGTTACTGTTTTGTTTTCTTTCTCTTGCGCTTACTTTGAGTCCTCTTGGCCTGCCTTCAGTGCCTTAAGCCTGTGTGGCACTACCCATAAGCTTAGCTCAGCCTTGTTAACTGGTCCTAGCCTTTTAAGGGATTTCTGGTTCCAGCTGCATTGCTTTCTAAGGAGTGAAGACCCAGCTGTGTCTAGAACTCAAAAGGAATGTTAATAAAGGCAATTAATTCAACCAGTATTTATTGAATACCTATCCAGTAAGCCTTGACTTACTAGCCACTGAAAGTACAAGGGGAAAACTTAATTTATTTGAATTCATATGCTCAAAAAGACTTAATTTATCATCCTCTTAAAAGACTTTGCCTTGTATGACTGCATGCACGCACAGGCATACAATTTGTAATACTGCTACCTGATACATCCTCCATTTGCAATCTCCAACAATTGGTATATTCCTAAACACCCATTTGATAATCATTTTCTGGAGCATTTAAAGCCTAAATAAGTCATAAAAATTTTACGATTCAGTGGGTGTTAAAGGGTCTTCTAAACAGTCTAGGTTAAATGATTTATTTAGTACTGAGAAGGAGAATTAGGATTTATTTAACAAATATTGTGCATCTGTTCCGGGTCAGTTTTTTGGGGGGGCGTGGGTGTGCTGGGATATAGCCATGTACAATAAGAAATAAAATAATTGAGTAAAATCTGATTAGGAAACCACCTGTAAAACAATATTCTGAACCTCACAGTACTGGGATAGTAATAGAATCTAAGTTGTTTAAAAAGTATTTCCCTTGAAAATACTGCAGAAACGGCAAATAAGTGTATGCTCCAATGATAATATCATACTTTTGAATAATAATGGGTAGGTGCTGAACACTTACATTAAAATAATAAAATCCTTTTCCACAGACTATAGTTCTCAGAATAAAATAAAGGACTTTGCAGATTGCCTTGTCAGCTACCCTGTCTACTGAGCGGAACTGACAGTATAACCCTGTTTTCCAAGAACATAATGGTCTGTCTGGTGGCCCTTAAAAGTGTTCTTTGAATACAGATCAGTATCTCAAGTTTTCACTTTGCAAGAAGACTCTGCTTTGACAGTATTTCTGTTTCAAGAATTTATTTCTGGATATAAAATTAATAAAAAAGTACTTTAGTAATAAGCATAATTAAATCCCATTTCCAAAGTTTACCAGCTAAAAAAAGTCAAAACAAAACAAAACAAAAAACCTGGTCTGTATCTGGGTGTGGCCTTAGTAAATGTGGAGATTATTATTATCCATTAGGACTTAGAATACTGAACCTAAACCTGAAAGTAGTATTTGATTCCGCTGCAAGAACCAAAACAAGGAAAAATAAATGAGAGTTGGATTGGACTTTAAAATCAACCTAAGGTTAAAAAAAAATCCAGAATTAAAATATTGTTCAGTAAATGATTATTTACCATTGATAGGATTTTTTTTTTCTTCTGTGCTGAGGGCTGAACCTAGGGCCTTCCCACTGAGCTGCATCCCAGTGCTCCACACCCACCTTTATTTCTGACACAGAGTTTCACTCCCATTTCTAGATCACAGGTCTAACCCCTTGTCTTGCCTCAGGGTTACAAAGTCCATGTCACTCCCAGACCTAGTGGTCCTTGAACCACTCTTACAATTAGCTTTCTTCTAACTCTTCAGGCCAAACTTCCTGCCACATCTGGCTTCATCCCAAGAATCTGATTCTAAATACGAGTAGTGGCTGAAATTACCATGAAGCTACACTGATCCCCCATACCAGGAATCATGTGAGTTTCTGACAACCATCCAAAGTGCAGGCATAGTGCTAAAGAGAGGATAACTCACTTTCATTGCACATGACTCCTAACCTGTTTCAAGTTCAGTGTCAGACATCACATGCCATTCACATGTACTATTTAACTATTGTTTCCCAATCACAGTTATTTGCTAGAGAGAAGAACCACAAATATTATTATTTACATAATGTGTTATTTAACCTTTTAAAAACTTAAGTAGTATTATTTTGAAAGAAACACTGTGTTGCTTGAATAAGTGAAACACATTTCCAATAGATATAAATAAAAGACCATAAAAACAAGTACAACGAAACCAAAACAATTATAGCCTTATTGATTGCCTATGGAGGAACACAGAAACCTGCTCTATATTTGTATAAAAATGGAAGATAGGTAAGGGTTGGACAAATTCACATCAACTTGAGAGTTTCCTACTTAGCATAGTCATAAAGATTTAGGAATACAGGAAAGAGAATAAGATTTTTGCTAAGAGTTTCTTTGTTATTTTTAATTTAATTTTTTATTTCATTAGTATATGTTTGTAATACATAGTGATTCATTTTGGAAAGTTGGTACATGTACGTAACACATCTTTTTTTTTTTTTTTGTACCAGGGCTTGAACTTAGGACCTTGTACTTGTGAGGCAGGCAGTAGCACCACTGAGCTAAATCCCCAGCCCATACACTTTAATCCTTTTACTTCCCCTTCTCTCTCTACCTCTCCTCTCCCTTTTTTTTTTTTTTTTTTTTGGTACCGGGGATTGAACTTGTGTCCTTGCGCTTGGGAGGCAGTCGGTGGCACCACTGAGCTAAGGCCCTGGCCCTCTCCTTTTCTTGGTCCCCTTTCACTGTTATTTTAATGATACATCCACCTATAATTAATTCATGTATCACCAGTCTATATGTCCTCATTTTTGAAAACTAATAGGCTTTAATTGTCGTGTATAATAATTTTTAATTAATGAAGGCTACAAGAAGAGCCATAGTGGCATTCCTACCTTGTGGTATGAAGGCAAGCCATCGGAAGGCCAGTTTATATGAAATTATCTATGTGCTGTGAGACAAAAATCTAAAAGGAACTTTGGAACTAGGACTCTTATTCCATAGCAGTGAAATGACAAGAACAACTGGGGTCTCCCCCAACATCTGGAAATAGTTTAAGTTCATGAGCTCCATATTGGAGCACCAGTATTTATTTGTGGAATCCATTCAATTGTTCTTCAAATTAAATTCTAGGAAAGGCTTCTAAATTCCTCCGTGGACCCAAGAGTATAAAGATGGACAGAATAAGATACTAGTGAGATCAAAAATGTGCAGTAATAGCAGACACAGAATTACTAGTCATGATGTTGCCTGTGCTTAGTTTGGGCAGGTGGGAATAAGAATCAGTTCTATGCAGTTGTCTTCAAAATTAAATGGATAATGTATGTGAGAAACAATGTGAAATTTATATTTGTTCTCTGGTGTTTGTTCCTTTTCCTTCCTTCATTTAAGCCAGTAGCAACTTTGCTTCCTTACCTCAGGTCATGTTTGTGGCAATGAAGAAAGCAGAAGTTGCTTTCAAAATAACTTTCTTTCCTAGCTTGAAATGGCCACCCCTAAATTTCTATTTATTTAATAAGTGTTTAAGACTACTAATCTGGCTGGAATTAGAATTATGAGATAGCTAGGAGTGTATTAAAATTAATTTGCATAGTATTAGAGATCAATAAAAATACCAACATTTTCTAAATTTGCTTTCCTGACTGGAAAAAATGTTGATTCATAATATCATGGAATGCTATTTTTTTGCTTGTTTTTTATTTGTTTATTTTTGTTTTGTTTCATTTTGTTTGTACTGGGGATTGAACTAGGGACCCTGCACTTGCAAGGTAGGCCACAGAATCACTGAGCTCAATCCCTGGCTTTTTGATTGTTTATTTTTGTTTTTTGTTTTTTTGGGGGGAATGCCATTTTTATTTGAGATAGAGAAGAGAGGACTAAGCAGATGGTTTTTGGAGATCTGATATTTGTACAATTGAGAGATTTTTCCTTTAAGAAAGATTTGAAATTACAAATAATTAAATACAGGCCTTAGAAGGAATCCATTCAAGTGAGAAGTCCTGAAACTTCACAGAAAATTGATCCCTGGCTAGGCCTTGCTTGCTTGAGAAAGAAACTCCAACAGGGGAGAATAGATGCTTCAGAATTAATAGTATGCAAATGCACACAGCTCATGACTGCATTAGCACTGTGTGGGTGTGATCCAGAAACTTGACACAACCATAGTGGAGATGAAAGACCAAGTATGACTGATATTGAGTATCCTATTTAATAGCTACTAAGGTTGAAACAAAGTTCTTCATAGAAAATCAGGAAAGATCTTGAGGAATGTTTACCAAAATCCATTCCCAATACGTAGGTCAAGAGACTTCTATATATTTCACAAGTAGTAGAAGTTTGTGTTTGTTTCCTATTGCTTCAGCAAGCATATTAAAACAATATCCATGTGTCTTCTCATAGTTCTGTAGGTCAGAAGCCTGGGTGAGCCTCAGCTGGGTTCTATGCTGAGGGCTAAAAGCAAAGTGTCAGCTGGACCAAGATAAGAGCCCAGACAAGATCCATGGGCTCTGGGGAAGAATCTGCTTCCAGTTTCATCCAGGTTGTTCACAGAATTCATTTCTTGCAGTTATAGCAATAAGGTCTCTGGCTGTTTTGTTTGTTTCGCAGTACTGAGGATTGACACTGAGACACTCTTCCTGTGGCTGTTGATTGGGGTCACCCTCAGATATCAGAGGCCTCTACTTCTTAAAAATGGTGTCCTTTGTCTTTAAAGCCAAAACAACTAGGCACAAACATGATGTGTGTGTGTGTGTGTGTGTGTGTGTGTGTGTGTGTGTGTGTGTGTGTGAAGGGCAGGTCTGCGCATAAAGTCACAAAGATCAATAGTTACAAATCAAAACACAAAGCAAGAAGAAAATCTTTGAAAGCTAGAGAATAGCAACCTAATCACTGAAACTTTTTGATACAAATTAGGTAACATATTTATCAGAAAAGGATGGGAGTGATTGTAAGACATTTTTAAATATTGCACAAAATTATTAGGAGTAACTCAGACTGCTCTAGGTACAATGTAAAGAAAGCTTAATTTATGTGCAAAATGTTTCCCTCCTTCAAAAGCATTTATCTTGTAACTCATTTGTTGCTATTAGTGGATTTCATCATTGGCATAAACTCAGAATTAAGATCTTAGTTAATGAGGCTTTAAATATAATCTATCTCATTTTAAAAGAAACTTTTCAAAGATTAGGAAACTATTACTACAATGATAAGCTGCTGATACCTTCCATTTTAGACTTGGATGGATGATCCTTTTTTTTTTTTTTTTTTCTTTTTTGGAAGGCTAGTATTGCTGGTAGCTGGACTTGCAGAAAGTAGCTAATGGTGTGTGTCTTGCTTTTTTTCTTTTCTTTTTTGTTCATTCTGATAGTATTTTAAAGCAGTAAAAGTGTCCTACCAGGTTGTCCCCCATTATGCTTTAATCAAATCATCTGACCAGGCTAAATGACCCCCATGGTTTCTTACAAATTTAGAAGGAATGTTTATTTATACACCACTACCATAATTTAAAGGTAATGTATAAATGAAGACTTGGAATATTGTCATTAAGACATAAGAGATTTATGATTAGAAATTACTACTCTGGGCTAGGGGATAGAGTGGTAGAGTGCTTGTCTAGAACACATAAGGGCCTGGGGTCAATGCCTAGCCAACAACAACAACTTCCCCACAATTACTACTAAAGATAGATGAAGTTAAATATAAACTAATATATAGATAACCAGTTAATTTCTTTTAAGTTTTGTACACACACACACTCACACACACCAAGGAATAGAGAGGACCTCTGTTTTCCATGTGTCTATTTGAATTTACATTTCTGGCATTCCTTCCATCTTCTATTAATAGTGATATATAAGTTTTCCTAGGGGGAGGAAAAAGAGGAAATATTCCTTTCTTTGCACACTCTTCTGACTCTTCATTAAGGTTCCCTGGCCAACAAATACATGACCTAATCAGAGTTCTTGATTGCAAATAATTGACACTGACCCTGCTTATTTGTATCAATTTTTTGTTGCTGTATAAAAAAATCACTATTGAGCTGGGCATGGTGGCACATACCTGTAATCCCAGCATTCGGAAGGCTGAGGCAGGAGGATCTCTGTGAGTTCGAGACCAGCCTGGGCTACATACTGAGTTCCAGGTCAGGCTCAACTACATAGTGAGACCCTGTCTCAACACCCACCCCCCAAAAAAAATCACTATCACTTTAAAGGCTTAAAGCAATGTAAAGTTTTGAACTCTGTTTCCCTGGGTCAGAAGTTCAGAGTGTTTTAGCTGGGTCCTCTACTCAGGGTCTTGTCTTGGGAGGTTGAAATTAAGGTGTGAGCCAGCTATAGTTCACCTGAGGCTTGGGTTCCAAGTTCACTGGTTGTTGGTGATATTCACTTTAATGTAGTGGTGCCACTGCCACAAGACAGTAATTTTCTTTTCTTTTCTTTGTTTTTTGTTTTTTGTTTTTTGTTCTTAGCTGCTACAGGCTCCTCTCAGACCCTTGCCACGTCAAACACAGTGTCTGTGTTTCCGGGTGAATCTCCCTTGAAGGGCCCATCTGTGTGCCCACTGCCGTGTCACAAGAGGTGTAACCCATGGCCTCTTTCATGCCAGGCAAGTGCTCTACCCCTGAGCTGCATTTCTGACTTCCAGTCTTTCTTTCAAAAGCTTTCTCTGACTAACAGGTCCATTCAGGATAATCTTCTTTTTCTTTTAATTATTTATTTTTAGAGTTGTTGTAAGATACAACAAATTAAACTAAAAAATTTTATATATATATATATATAAACTTAAAGATTATGTATAAACATATATAGTCTTAAAGATTATAACTTAAATCTATCATAATTA